GGGGGGGGGGGGGGGGGGGGGGGCCATGAGCGACCAGCTGGCCTTTGGAAAAACATCTCCCTTCCTTCCCGCTTCACGATGACGGAGAGGCTGGCGTTGGTGGGAGGGCTGCCTGAGCCAGGAACAGCGTGATTCAGGAGCTGCTGGCGGGCAGCTCGGAGCGCTGCCTGCAGCCCCGTTACCAGTCGGAGGGGCTGTGAAAGCACTGGGGGGGTACACGCTGCTCTCTGGGGAGGGTGATGCGGGCAGCCTGCGGGTGCCGGTGCTGTGTGGGTCTGGATGCGTCGGGTTGGCTTTGGGGAGAGGGGAGATCGCAGCACCCTTGGCAGCGCTCTCCGGCTGCACGTCTCCCCCCTGGGAGCAGAGGGAGCTTGCGGAGAGCACACAGGTAGCTGCTGGTTGTTGCTGGGAGATGATGGTTCCCGTGGGGATGCTGGTGGTGTTTAGAGGGAGGGGTGAATGGAGACACGGGGGTGACCCTGATGAAGTAATTTTCTTGTGTGCTGCACCTCTGTGCACCGTGTGCTTGGTGACCTGCCACCCAGGTGTGCACGGGTCCCACCGGTGTCACCCCAGGGAGTGGGGATCCACCGTGGAGGGTGGGGGGCTGCTGTGGGAGCACCCCACACCCCTGGGGCTGCCTGCCTGTGTGGGGATGGTGGTGGTGGTCCCACAGGACACCCCTTGTCCCCGAGGATGGGATTTGAAGTCGCTGTCTCACTGTGAACAGGGCGCTGAGCCACCCCCTGCAGCTGATCCCGCTCTTCCGCCGGCCCCACATGACCTTGAGGCGTGTCACTTGACCTGCGCATCGCCCTCCATCCATCTGGAAAATCGGGTTTAAAACGCAGGAATCGCGCTGAAAGCCCAGATGCTGCTTTCCAGCTGGGGGAGGAGGCAAGGGCTGTGCTTCCAGTCCCCGGGGCTGGCCCCTGCCGGGGGACAGGAGGATGTTCTCGGGGGGGCTATGGGTACCCCTGGGCAGGCAGGGGGGCACTGAGCTTGCAGTGGGGGGTGCAACCTGTCCCCTGCCCTGGACTGTGGTCGCTGCGCTCCTTGCTTCATGACTGTGGCTGCCTGCTCTCCTTCCCTGCCGGCCTCCATATGCCACACTGGTGGCCTTGTCCTCAGCGATCCCCACCATATCCTACCTCCGCTGATGTGAGCGGGATGTGTCAGAGCAGATCTTGTCTCCGCTCGCCAGGCAGGAGAGGTCCCCAGGCTCGGGGCCTTGCGCTTGTCCCCACGGTGGGACAGGGATGGGGGTGAGTGCCTGGGATGGGGGGTCAGGATGGGATCCCCTCTCTGACCCCAGGGTGTGTGCCGGGCAGGGCGGCCTTCTTGGGCTTTTCACCATCATCCCTTGGCCGTGGGGTTGGTGTTTACCCCTGCTGCGAGCCGAGGTGCAGCGCTATTTCATTTGGAAACTCGCTCTGCCACAGCCCCGTCCTCCTCACAAAACATCTGCAGCAAGGGTCCCTCTTCAGCTAGTGACCCCAGATGCTGGGTGCCACCAGCTTCACCGAGTCCTGTGTCACCTTATATCTGCTCTCGGGATGGGAGGAACTGGATGCCCAGACCTGGGCAAGGGTCTTCCCAGCGTTGGCATCGCCATCCTGGGGAGCCCCGTGGTGGCACCGTCTCTACGTGGCAGCAGCTTTCCCTCCTCTCCCTTTGGGATGCTGTTCAACTCCACCTCCGCATCTTGTATTCTTGCCTCCTGGCACGCGGCGTGCTTTTATTTTTCCTGGATCTGCTTGGATGACGAAGCCTGTTGATTACTTGTTTTTCTTTACGAGGCATCCCCCAGCTTCATGTGAGCTCCCGCACCGAGCGGGGATTCAGGGTCTGCGTCCCCGCTGCGGCTCCCTGATGTTGACCCTATTTCTGAACCACAGGTTGAGCCCTGAAACCCCCCTGAACTCAGCTGGGAAAAAAATCAAGTGGGTTTAAAAATACCTTGTCTGTTTGCGCTCTGTTTCTTCTGGCGTCTGCGGATTGTTTTCAAGCGTTTCCCCACAAATGTGGGGGTGAGAAATGCTTCTTTGAATTGAGAGCTGCAGTCTCTATCACTCACATGCCTTCAGCAGCCAGGATGTGGAAGGAAAACTCGGTTGGGGTTGGGAGCGCAGGGTTAGCAGGTTGGGAAGTTGGGGACACCCAAGGTGGGGGTGGTCTGTAAAACACCTCCCCAGTGCTTTCCTGCTGTCTCTGGAGTCGGGGACAGGAGGGCACGGGGACCAGTGGCAGGGCGGGTGGCAGCCGGTGAGAGCTGGGGGCCAGTTAGCCACCGTGGCTGCCAGTTGGCTGTGCGTGTGGGGAGGTGATGCTCAGCCATGCATGCAATTCCCCACCGGCCTTGCGCTCAGACACCAGCGCTGCAAGCTGCTGGGGCTGACCTATTTTCCTGCGCCTGGGTGGTCCCGGCCAGGCGTGGGTCCGGCGGAGCAGCTGGCTCATCCCCTCCCTGGGAATGTCACCCAGCAGTTTGCTGGGGAGCCAGTTGGGGATCCCAGTGTAGGGCTCCCAGTGTGACTCCTCAACACCCATCCCTGGGGCATCTGGGTGGCCTCTTGGGCAACGTGCTTCTCCAGTTGGGCAAGCATCAGCATCCCAGGCTCCATTTGGCGTTGAGGAGCTGAAAACCAAGACCCCACCTTGGTATGCCAGGAGCTGGGGGGCTTGGGAAGTGGCTGAGGTGCTGCCCCCTCCATCTTCTGCTGCTGGTGGAAAGCAGGACTGTCCCTTTGAAGGCGGGGAGGTGCTGGGGACCTGCTCGGGGAAGCGCGCGTCCTTGGATGCTCTTGAGCAGCACGTGACGGCCACTGTCCCTGATCGGTGTAGGGGGGCCGTGGACAGGGAGGGGGGTTCCCAGCCCTGCAGCACAGCCCCTCCTCCCTGGATGGGCACAGTGGGGTCGGGACAAGTCCTGGTAGCTCTTTGCCAGGGTGACAGGGGAGAACTGACACCATCCCCACTGACAGGCTGCGAACGCCTGAGCTCATCGGCGATGCAGCGACAACGAGGGCTGGAGAGGTGCAAGAGTGTCGTCAGGGTGGTGCAAAGTTGGGGGGGGGGTGCAGGAGCTGGGTGCATGTGTGGGTGCACATGGCACGTGTGTGCACAGCAGTCACCCCGCCCGCCTGGGGTCCAGGCAGGGACGTGGCCATGCGGGACCCCCGTAGCGGGGCTGAGCGCGATGCAGCCTCTGCTCCTTGCGGTGGGTTCACAGCTTTGCACCCTGGCATCCCCCTCCTCGGTGCTACCAGCCGGCCCTCCCAGTTAAACAGCCGCCATCCAGTTCGGAGGATGCCTGGCTGGTCATCGGGCTCCTCGGTGGCGGTGCACCCCGCTCCCCTTCCCGCGGGGGCACTCGGTCGGCGAGCCCGTGGGGTGGCCCGGCGCGGGCCTCTCGCCGGTACACGCTTGTGCCAGAGCCAAAAATAGCCGGTGATGCTCGGCTCCCGCGGCGGGGAAGCGGTGATGTCACTCGCCGCCAATCATCGGCGGCCCCGAGGAGCAGCGCGGAGGAGTGGGAACGTGCTTCCCCGAGCATCCTTCCCCCAGCATCCTTCCCTGAGCATCCCCCGTGGAGCAGGCGGTGGCCGCGTGTGCCAGGAAAAGAGGGGAGGAGGTTGGGGGGGGTCCCTTCCTTGGTGGGAAGGGAAATGTGAAGCTGAACCTGGCGCCTGCAGTTTTGGGGACCCCCCCTTGGCTCCCCTCAGCCCTGGGTTTTCCCCTCCCTCTCCTTTCCTGAAAGCCGTGCTGAGGATGCAGCTTTGCTGCTGATGGTGAGAGCAGGATGACGACAGGCTGCAGCTGAGCGGGGAGGCACAGCCGGGGTGGAGCAGCGCCTTCGTTTGAGGCTGAGACCAAAGCCCTGCTTAATTACCCCAGCCGGGAGGAGCAGGGTGCCAGACTTGACATGCAGGTCGCAGCTGGGTTTCAGGATCTCGGGGACACCCGAGGATGGGCGGGCTTGGCTGGAGCATCGCTGCTCCGGGGGCTCAGCCCGGGAGAGCTGCAGGTCCCTGCACGCTCAGTCCCGCTCGCCAGAGGATTCGGGGGCACAAGTGGGGCTGCGAAAGCAGCGTTTTCACCGCTGCAGGGATGCAGGGCAGCCCTGATGGTGCTGCTGGGTGGGGAGCAGCGCTAGGCATGCTCCATGCACCCCCTCTGCTGAGAGCAGGGCATCCCCAAAACCCCCTGGGCACTATCCTGGCCCCGGTGCAGGGGGTAGGAAGCCATCCTGGAGCAGTGGGGACTTGGTGGCCACCATCCTGAGCCCTGGGGTGGCCCTGGCTGCTGAGTGGAGGAGCTTGGGGAACCCCTGCTTGGTTTTGGGGCAGAGGAGACCCGGGGGCTGCCCTTGGCGGAGCCAGGTGCCTGGGGACAGGCATCGTCTCTGCTGTGGCTTTTCTGGGGTCCCTGTCCTCTGGCTAAGGCCAATGCCAGGGTCTGGCAGTGGGATCAGACACAGTTTCTTCCTTCGTCCCCTCACAGGTGCCCTCGGCTCGAGGGAGGAGCCCGAGTTCGTGACCGCTCGCGCTGGCGAGAGCGTGATCCTGGGATGCGACGTGATCCACCCGCTCACGGGGCAGCCCCCTCCCTATGTCGTGGAGTGGTTCAAGTTCGGCGTCCCCATCCCCATCTTCATCAAGTTTGGGTTTTACCCTCCCCATGTCGACCCGGAGTATGCCGGTGAGTCCGGGGAGGGGGGGGTGTGCAGGGGATGTGCTGTGTCCTGGGATGCACGGCTCCGCTCCACCTGTTTCTCCATCAGAAACTGCGCGAGCTCTGTCTCTCATTGCTCGCTTTCCACCCAGTTGGTTTTAATTAAGCAGCAGTGCTAGGGAGCCAGCTGGGCTGCGTGGGACGGGAGCAAGCGAGGCAGAGAAACCCAGGGTGACGCGTGGTGGCAGCGGCGGCTGCTGCGCCCCGGAGCAGCTGTGAGCCTGGGGGGATGCAGGGATAGATGGAGTTGGGTCCACGTGCCGGGCGAAGGTGGCAGGTTGGAGCTGCAGAGCCCACATGGCCGCTCGCCAAGGTGCCACCTTGCCACGTGGACCAGCCCGGAGTGGGGTGGCGAGGTGGGACAGGCCCCTTTCCATGTGCCATTCCTTGGGGAACAGCATCCTGAGGGCCTTACCCTGGGTCTTACCCTGGTTCCAGGCTCAGCAGGGCTTCTTCTGCCCAAATTGCTCCCCTGGAAAGTCCTGCAGCAGGGAGGATGCCAGCACCTGAGCCTGGGCTGAGCCCTGCCAAACTCGGTTCATGCTTGAGCGATGCTGGAGACCTGAGCTTGGGCTGAGCCCTGCCAAACTCAGCTCATGCTTGAGCGATGCTGGAGCCCAGTCGCCGGGCTGGGGTGGAGGTTTGGACTGCCTTGCTGCTGGTCCAGTTTCCTGGGCTGTGCACAGGGTTATGGCGGGGCCGTGCTGCTTTTTGGGAGGCTCCCAGGCCGGAGAAGAGCCTTGGGGCACACCTGCTTGCCGGCTGTACCGCCGCCAGCCCCTGGCCGGGAGCAGAAGGCCGGTGTCACTGTGGGCAGACGCTGCTCGAGGCACCTCGCCTGGCCGTGGCAGCTTGCTCTGCCCTCCTCGCCAGATGGGCGAGCGCGTTGCCGGCTGGCTGCCACCGGCAGCACCGTGCCGTGAGGCTCAACCAGCCCCAAACCCGTGACAGTGGGGCTCTGCCCAGCCCCAAAGTTCCTGCAGCACAGGTGTCCCCTGCAGCGATGCTCGGGGCGGGGGGCTGGTTTGGTGGTGGGTGGCCATCACACGGGGTCAGGGGCCACCGAGCCCATGGCTATGCTCTCCCCATAGGCCGGGCCAGCCTGCACGACAAAGCCTCCCTGCGAATTGAGCAGGTCCGCTCCGAGGACCAGGGCTGGTACGAGTGCAAAGTGCTCATGCTGGACCAGCAGTACGACACCTTCCACAACGGCAGCTGGGTCCACCTCACAGTCAACGGTGAGCCGGGCTGCGGCATGGCGAGGGGGGCTGCGGCATCACCGAGGGGCCGTGGCATGGGGATGGGGGGCTATGGCATCACCGAGGGGCCGCAGTGTGGGGATGGGGGGCTATAGCATCACCGAGGGGCCGTGGCGATGCTTGCGGGCAGTGCCAGCACCCAGACGGGTGTTTCTGATGGATGCTGGACATCACTGGTATCTGTGTCTTGTAGACAAGTGAGCCTGAAGCCATCCAGGCTGATTGCTCCAGCCAGGGCGTGACTTCAAAAGGGACAAACTTTTATTAGGTATCCCACAGTTTAATTAGGCAGAGCTTGTTTAAAGGAGAGACATCAAGAAGCAGGGTTGGGAATGAATCTCCTCTTAACAAACAGATCAGGAAATCAAATCTTTGTTTTCTTGAAATTCAGATTCACTCAAATTACTTTTTCATTTTATTAAGGCTGCGTATTAAACTAATTAGCAAACTGTCATTTTCCACGTCAGGAGAGGTCTTTATTTCTAGCCCAGCAGCAGGACTGTGCCTCTCCTGCTGCAGTGGGGTGGCTGGAGAGGAGAAATGGGCACCGGCAGCTCCTCGCTGGTCTTGCCTGACCTTGAGCAATTAATTTACCCTTTGGGGGGGCGACTGGGCTGCCGCACAGAGCAGAGCCACCTAATTGAGCCCAATTAGTGAGCAGGAGCTTTGCAAGCGGGGCCATCAGCACACCAGCCCTGTCCCTGCCTGCTGAGGAGCTCGCGGGGCTTGGGAAGGAGGAGGAGGAGGAGGATGGTGCCTGCCTCACCTCCACAGCACACACGGATCCTGCAAACCGCTGACCCGAGGGGCTGGAAGTGGCCATCAGCACTGTCCCACCCCAGGCTCGACGCCTTTTACAAAATTATCTGCTTTTTGGGTTGTATGCAGCTCGGGGCACGTAGGGACTTAATAACAAAATTATAACCGTAATCCTCCCGGCCCGAGGAATTGCTTTCAGGGGGAAGGCTGTGGCTTTCCCCCAGCGCATTACAACGCTTAATTTTCTTAGGGGAAAATAAAAATCATTTGGGGAGAAACAAAATATAATTCTTTTTTTTTTCCCCCGAGCAGATTAAATTGCCAACCTGTCTTCCTCGAAAGTGGGCTTTAACAACCTCTGGTAATTAGGGGCGGGCTGTAATCCTGCCAGCCTCTTTAATCAGGAAGGAGCCTTTCGATCTGCACTGCGGCGTTTTCCCGTGTTTTGACAATAGCAAGTTAATGTGCAACGGGGTGGTGGGGCGGGGGGGAACACGGTGCCGTGCCCCGGAGCTTCTGGGGAGGAGAGGGGACAGGGCTGGGGTACGCTGTGGCGTGGAGGGGATGCCCTCAGCAGGTGTCCCCAGGGACAGCCCCTGTGACAGCTGCTGTCCCTGTCCCTGCAGCCCTGCTGGCCTTTGGGGACACGTGGCGTGTCCCCCCCTTTGCAGGCAGCAGCCTCCCCTCTGTCCCCGTGCCCCGTGCCATCCTCCCCCAGACCCACCTGTGACGGGGGGGTCACAGTGGTGTCCCCCTGCCCCGCAGCTCCCCCCACTTTCACGGAGACGCCGCCGCAGTACGTCGAGGCGAAGGAAGGCAGCAGCGTCACCTTGACCTGCATGGCGTTCGGGAACCCCAAGCCCATCGTCACCTGGCTGAAAGAGGGAGACCTTTTGGGTGACAATGGCAAGTACCAGGTAGGTGGGTGGTGGGGGCTATCGTGGGGGCTCCTGGCTGTCCCGCCAGCAGGGACGGTGTCATGGGACCATGGTGGCTGCAGCTCCGCCGTGCCTGGAGCCTGCTGTGCTTTCTCAGCTCTTCTCCGTGCCGAGATGCCCGTTTCCCACCCCCATCTCTGCCTCTAACGCTGCTGCCCATTGGTGCAGGCTGGAGACCCCCCCACCGGCATCCCTGCTGCTTCTTGGTGACTCTCATCCCGGGGGCTGGTTGCTGTGCCGGGTCCCAGAGATGGGGTGGGGGCTGCAGCCTTGGGACACGGGGGCAGGGAGGACTTTTTTTTCCACCCCTCCCAGGACCCTTTTTGCATCCCAGAGGCTCCCTGAGCAGAGATTCCCCCCTGAGCTGTAATTGGTAAATCAGGCATTGGAATCAGTGCAGGCACTAATGAGAGTAATTAGGAATCATTTGTTACTAATTGAAATAGAAGGATGAGGCAGAATGAGGTGGAGAGGAGGGGGCCTGGCTGGGAGCAGGACTCCCTGTGCACGGCGGGGGCTGCTACCCCAGGGGTGACAGTCCCTCACCCATCTTGTCCCCGCTGTGTCCCTGGGGAGGAATTCGGCCGCTCCTCTTGACCTGGGAGGTGGCCCCGTGGGGGCCAAGCTGGGGTCTCCCCCTCATACCCTACCCCAGGGTGGGGAGCAGGGATGCTCCGGTGCGGTGTGAAATGCGGATGGTGCCGGGGTGCTGGGCAGGAGCGGTTTGGAGTCTGCTGCCTGCCAGTCGCTTCTGTGGGAGATGAATAATGTTACCAGGGTTATTTTATTTTTTTAAATTTTTTTTTCCCTTCCCCTTGGCGTCGAGCGTGTGTTGGTTTATTAATATCCGAAGTCTTGCAGAGCGGGGAAACCCTTTCTCAGCCGCCCTTAAAAGCGCCGGCAGCTCTCTGCTGTGGGAAGTGGGGAGGGAGGGTGCCGAGCCGGGGCTAGGGCGCATCCCCACCCCCCTGGGGGGTCCCTGCCCATGCTCCAGGGTCTTCCCTTGTCATCCCCAGGTGAGCGACGGGAGCCTGACAGTGCTCTCCGTCAGCCGGGAGGACAGGGGTGCCTACACTTGCCGGGCGTACAGCATCCAGGGAGAGGCTGTGCACACCACGCGCCTGCTCGTTCAAGGTGAGGCTTCCCGAGCCCCTCCGCCTTGTCCCCAACGGGCTGTGAGGGGCCTCCGTGGGGACAACGGACCCCTCATGGGCTCGGCATCGTGCCCCGTGGCCCTTCGTCCTGTTTGTAGGACGGAAGAATCCGCTTAATTGGGGCAGCGCGGTGCCGATGAGCAGCTGGGCCCCGACGGCAGCTCGGTTTTATTCGGGAAACGGGGGAAGAGATCGAGGCTGTCACAAAGCGCCTCGTCAGATAGCGGTGATGCATGGCAGGCCTCCCGCTCCTTGCTCCTTCTTTTATTAAATAAATCTTTAATTAGGTCAACAGCTACCGGCGGAGAGAGAGGAGCGCGGGGTGTCCTCTGCGTTCGCCATGGCGGCGAGCTGCGGACGCTTGCTGCCGGCTCCTGGCACTTTGCTGTTTTTCCCCCTGGATTTTTCTCGCGGGGAATGCGACCCTGGAAGTGTGCTCGGGATGAAGGCAGGCGGGAGCTCGTGTGTCCTGGGAGAAGCAAAGCTGTGGGCCATGGGTGCAGGGTCCCCCTCCCCAAAGCTGCAGAGATTTGGGGAAAGGGGTGGGAATAACAGATCCTCGAGGTCAGCCCTGTGATCCCGGGGGGTCAGGGGCCAGCCCCAGAGCTCTCCAGCCCCCAGCTGATGATGCTGTGATGGAGCTGAGCCCGAGTAACCGTTGTGGGGACAGTTGTACTGGTAGGGTTGACACCTTTCTCTCCTCCCTCCAGGACCTCCTTTCATCGTTTCCCCTCCGGAGAACATCACGGTCAACATCTCCCAGGATGCGCTCTTCACCTGCCAGGCCGAGGCGTACCCCGGGAACCTCACCTACCTGTGGTACTGGGAGGAGGAGAACGTCTACTTCAAGAAGTAATTCGATTACATGTCTTATGAGAGTGGCTGAGGGAACTGGGGGGGGGGGCCGTTTAGAGAAGAGGAGGCTGAGGGGAGACCTCCTGGCCCTTTGCAACTCCCTGCCAGGAGGGGGCAGAGAGGGGGGATGAGTCTCTGGAGCCAAGGAGCCAGCGCCAGGCCCCGAGGGAATGGCCTCAAGCTGCCCAGGGCAGGGTCAGGCTGGCTCTGAGGAAGGATTTCTGTGCAGAAGGGGATGTTGGGCGTTGGAATGGGCTGCCCAGGGCAGGGGGGGAGTCCCCGGGATCCCTGGAGGGGTTGAAGAGTCGGGCTGAGCCAGCACTGAGGGATCTGGGGAGTTGGGAACGGTCAGGGGGAGGGTCATGGTTGGGCTGGAGGAGCTTCAGGGTCTTTTCCAATGATGATTCTGTGATTCTGAGCTTTCAGCTGGCAGGGTGGTGTGTCCTCTTGCTCCCTTATCATGCTGGGGCCACCACCCTGGGTCTCCCCACAATCCTCCTTCTCTTTTTCTTTCTCAGCGACCTGAAGTTGCGGGTGCGGATCCTGATCGACGGCACGCTGATCATTTTCCGTGTCAAGCCAGAGGATGCTGGAAAATACACCTGTATCCCCAGCAACAGCCTGGGCCGCTCACCATCAGCCTCTGCCTACCTGACAGTGCAGTGTGAGTGCGGGAAGCAGGGCCTGATCCTTCAGGATGGGGCTGGGATTGATAATACCTGTCTCTGTTGTCCTGCTGTGTTGCTGGGAGGCTCTCGCATTGATGTGACGTCAGCCTTCGAACGAGCATGCAGTCATCCTCAGGAACAGGCTGAGAGCATCCCACGGGTGCTTGTAGGGTGTGGGCAACAGGAAAGCAAATAACCTGATCATCTTGGGTAGCACCGTTCTGCCGGGAGTGATTTTTGATGAGGTGGGCATCTTCCCACCGCTGCCGCCGGCACGTCGTCCTCATCGGCTGCATCATGTCGGGCAGGGAAACATCAGATCAGGGCTCTCGGTCTCAACTACCTGCTTGTATTTTTTGGTATTTACTATGGGGCGTTGTTCCTGCGGCGTGGTTTTTCTGTGAGCTCGGTAGCTTTGTGTGTCATATTTTCTAGGCGGTAACTGATCTAAACAAGCAGAGGAGAAGGGGCTGTAGCAGGAGCGTTGCTTCCCACGCTTGTTCTCTCCAGCTCCCCGGGCGGTAATGGGTAGTGTGCCACCGGCGTCCTGTGGTATTCGACAGTAATGGCCTCAATTGCTGCCGCTCACAATTGCAATACTGCTTTGCTGTCAAAGACTGCAGCGGTTTTATTTTATAATGAAAAACAGGCTTGAGCAAAGTGGGCTCACGACTTGTGTTTTGAAGGCTGCCGTAGAGCTGCTGCCCGTAGACCCGGTGCTGGTTACTGGGAAGCCCCCCGCCGGTGCGGAGCCGCTGTGAGAAGGGCTGGTGGGTGCAGTCTTTCCCTCACGGGGATGGCTGGAGGGGCAGGGGCACGGTGTGGCTGGTGCCGTGCCCAGGCAGAGCCCGATTCGCGTCTTGGATGTGCCCAGCTGGGCAGCTCCTGGGAAAACATGCAGCCTCAGGGCATTAAATCTGTCCTGCCGCTAATCCAGGACCACTCGTCAAGCTGTTTAAAATAGCAGGAAAAAAGGCATTTGGACAATCTGCTGCTCAGTCAGAGGCTTCGGCACGAGGAGGTGTACTTGGCTTTTTTGTGCTGCAAACCCCTTCAGAGCAAATTTCCTCATCTGTCCCGGAGCTGATGCCTCAGGAGGGAGGCTTCCCACCGAGGCAGCCGTCAGATGGGGACATGGCTCCAGGTCATTAGTGAGCCAGGCTGGCCCCCAGCCAGTGACCTAGTAGTGAAAGGCTCGATCCCATTACCCTCTCCCACGCTGCCAGAGCCCTTGATTACATTTCCTAAGAGGAGTTAAGCGGAGGAGGGTAAAGCCAGGCAGCACTCGGCAATCTGGGTTATGGTGCCATTGCCAGGGGCACGCGGTTTCGGGGAGAGGTTGGGGTTATATGTTTCAGCAGGAAGGGAGCAGAGCTCCCAAACTTGGCAGCTTTTGCCCCAGGAAAGCAATAGGGAGAGGGCAGCCCCACATCCTCCTCCTAAACACTTTACCTTTACTCTGGGCTTTGCCTTTTTGCATCAGCGGCACAGGGATGCTGCACCCCAAAAAAATGAGTTCATCCCTTAATGCAGCGTAAGCCCCGTCAGGATTTTCCCATAACCTTGTGCTGCCGGTGTCTAGACAAGATTGTAGAAATACTCACTCTCCTTATTAAAGGTAACTTTTTTTTTTAAAAAATGCTTCTTATTAAAGAAAGTCTAGATTCTCTCCAACCCACTCGCACTTAATTAAAAAGCTCTTAGAAGCACTGTTAATGACACATTCTAGACTTGGAGGATTGCGAGACGCCTCTCTGCGTGGGTGGTGCAGTGCGGTGGGGGTTAGGTACGTATTTTAAGCTTTTTGCATCCTATTGGAAAGGGTGGAGGTGGCTGATGCTCAGCGTGACCCAGCCTCGATGAGGCACGAGCTGTGAGTACAAACAGACAGGGAGGTAAAGGGCTCACGGCAGCCCGGCCACGGATTCCTTCTCCCGTCTCGGTTGCTGCAGTTGGTGTGTTTTAAGGCTCAGGGTTTGAAATAGTTTGCATTGCTGGTGTACAAAACCAAAGAGACAAAAAAACCCAAAAAGGGTGGTTTGCTGGGTGTACACCACGCCGTGTAGACATCCCATGGTGGAGCAACTCAGGCTTCAGCAGGACACGAGTCATTGTGGATGTGGGAGCAGACGTGTTTAATGTTTCTTTTTAAATGCAACTTTTAATGAGCCTCAGGCAGGAATACCCTGGGCATGAGTAAAGCCTCCCAGAAATGCGAGGTATTACAGCGGATTTGTGTTTAGCAAGCCTGGAGATAACAGCCTGCAGCAGCCAAGGTGGCGGTGGGGTTTGGAATTCATTATAGAAGCGATGTAGATCCTCTGAAGCCAGGTGGTGGGGGAGAGGTGAGCTCTTTCCCTGTGCTAACGTGGTGCTGCTGCTCTCCCAGATCCTGCCCGCGTGGTGAACATGCCCCCTGTCATCTACGTTCCCATCGGGATACACGGATACATCCGCTGCCCGGTCGAGGCAGAGCCCCCGGTCACACTGGTCAAGTGGAACAAAGACGGACGTCCCCTGCGAATCGAGAAGGTAAGGAAGCCCCCAGGGGAGGGACGTGTGGGGGCACGGAGGGATTCGGACCCTCGTGTCCTCTGCAAGTGCCAGTGAGCATCGTCGGGCACCCTGCCCGTCGGGAGAGAGGAAGCCCCGTGGGTGGGATGATGCTGCTTTTCCTTATCAGCTGTGGGCAGAGTTAATTCAGGTTCTTGTGCAGAGCCAAGGGCGTCTGTAGACGCGCTGTCTGCATCTCCCAGACCTAATGCCTGCTTCCTTCTAAAGTCACCTCCTGATGGCCCTGATTTATTTTTTTTTTTGCCCCCAATGGCAACTGATGGATAAAAGACCCTTTTAACAAGTCTCTGTCTTCCTATAATCATGGTTTGATAGTCTAAGCAAGGATATTAGCCATTAAATATTTAAATAAAACACTCAGTATTTTAAATTTTTTGCTTAAATATTAACAATCCAAAGTTTTTTAATCCCATTTAAACCTACTGCTGCTGTGGGTTCCTGATCCTTGGTGCCTTCAGCCCCTGGGGTGGAGTTGTCTCCTTGGTGCCACCAAGACGAGTTTTACTTGGGGTTCGATAGATTCTGATGTTAAATCTTTTGGGTTACTGGAAGAAGCCTGGCTGTGTGTAGGGAGGAGAGAATCTGCAAGATAAACCTGTGTGTCGTTGGGCGTGGATAGAGCAGGGCAACCCTTCCCAGGAGGGCTGCCTTTGGACGGGCTGATCTTGCCCCCATTTCCTCTCTCTGCAGTTGAGGAGATGACTTGGATGGTGGGAATTGAGTTGGGCATCTCCCAGGGGCACGACAGCTGCCCTGGGTGTAGGTGGGGGGCTTGGCTGAAGGGAAAATAATAAACTGGGAGGGGAGAGTAAGGGATAAGTCAGCTCCCTCTTTCTCACTGTTGCAGTATTCTGGCTGGAACCTGCTGGAAGACGGGTCGATCCGGATAGAGGAGGCAACCGAAGATGCTCTCGGCACTTACACCTGTGTGCCTTATAACGCCCTGGGTACGATGGGCCAGTCTCCCCCTGCCCGACTGGTACTGAAGGTAACTCGCCTCCTAAAATCCTCGCTCTGCAGCCGGGCATATTTGCCAGGAGTTGTGGCCTCTCGTGCCGAGAAGAGCTGCAGCTTTGTGTGGGGTGCTAGGGTCCCAGTCTGGGCAGCATGAGATGTGTGCTTTGCAGGGGTATCTCACGCTGTAATTGGGCTTTTTTAATGTGGATTTTGCAATGTGTGTCATGGAAATGCCTTGCAGGAGCAGCAGCATGGGTTTCAGCACAGGCTGGGCCATGCCCAGCGTATATGAGTATAAGGCTTTGGTAGCGCTGGACCTGGGGTGGTTTGAGGAAACATGTCCCTGGGATGGTCTTTTTGCCAACAGAACGCTTAGCCCTGCTGACCTGGGCTTGGCTTCACAGAGAATTTTAATAAATGGATGATCTGAGCTCGGGAGATGCTTCACGTGCTCTTGCTGCGTGCGGAGCCTGAGGCACACTGGGCTCCCAGTGCAGTTCCTGGTGCGGCTGGGGTGGGAGCTGCTGCCTCTTCCTTCCCTGAACAAAAAGTCCCGTGCTTGCAGGCGGTGATTCATGGTCTCTCGCTGAGGTTCACATAATAACGCTTTGTGTATCATAGACACGCGCATCCGCTACGGCGGCTGCGGAGTTGGTGAAATCAGGTTGATGTCTGACGCGATGTAGGTGGGGTTTTCTTCCCCCGTTTTCCTCTTTAAAACCTGAACAAGATGCCCTAGTGCAGCGACTTTTCAGAGAAAACTTCCCTCCGGGTGTATAATTTGGGGTACCACCCTCTCCGCCGTGGCTTTCCTCGCAATGCCTCACCCTTTCCCAACCCGGAGATGTGTTTGGTTTGCAAAAGGGCTGGTTTTGGTGTGGGAGTGGGTGTGGGTTGATGCTCCTTGCCTTTTCCCTTGGCTGCAGGACCCCCCCTATTTCACGGTGCTACCAGGCTGGGAGTACAGACAGGAGGCAGGGAGGGAGCTGTTGATTCCTTGCGCTGCTGCCGGAGACCCCTTTCCCATCATCGCCTGGAGAAAGGTACCCGGCCTGCCAGACAAATCTGCAGTGCCTTTGGCTTTTGGTGAATATTGCAGACAGAGAAGCCACACTCTGTCCCGGTAAGAACAAACTGCAGGTACAGCTGCTTCGCTTTGGGCTGAGCCACTGCCGTCCTGTCCCGCAGGTGGGTGGGGGAAACCCGGCTTGTGGCCACCGAGTACTTGAATCCCACGAAACCGTCACGGCAGCATCTGCAAAGCTGAACGCTGCCCCTGCCCCGGCCCCCCCCGTCCCTCCTCTTCCTCACCAGTGCTTGCCCACAGGACACCCTCCTCCTCGCTGGCCTGCGAGGTGGTCACCGGCAGGACACAGCAGCCCTGTTCTTGTGGTGGGAAGGGATGTGCCACTGGAGCGTGTCTGGGGGTCTCTTGGCTGTGTTTTGGCAAGGGGCTGGGCTGGTCGGCAGCTGCTTTGCTGCCCCGTGACTTTGAAGACCCTGGGAAGAAGCTGTTTTAATGACGCTGGACCGGACACGATGATTTCAGCATGTCCCTTTCTGTAGAGCAGGAGCTGGTGTGGTGGAACAGCCTGGGAGCAGCCCAGGGCTTCCCAGTCCTCCTCCAGCCTGCCCTTCGCTTCCCACCTTCACTGCTCCTGTAGGAAAGCCACCGTACAGGGGACTTCTGGGCTCTGTCCCCCTGCCAGCATCCCATCAAATGTCCTGTCCCAAGAGTGAGCAGGGTCCCTGCGTCACCCAGGGGCGCCGTCCTCAGTCCTTGCAGTGTGAGGTGCTGGATCTCTTTGAGTTCCTTTTACCAGCAGGAGTTGGTGATTTGCACGGGTTGCAAGTGATCTACCTAAAACTTCTTGGCTGTTCAGTCTTATTTTTCTTCTCCCCAAACCCCCTCCCTTCACAATTCTTATTCAGGTTTCTTTTCAACCCCTCTTATGCCTTCTGGCGGTCCTCCTCATGTCATGACTCTGGGCTTATCCCCCCCCGACTCCAGTCAGGGCTGGCTTGGGCTGGGCTCAGTTTCCCAGTGGCAGAAGCAAGCTCCCTCGCTCCCCATCAGCCCAGCAGCGCTGACCAGTCTCTTGAAGGACTCCTGAAGACTTGTGCTTGGCGCTGGTAACCCCACGTGCCCGTCCACTCCTCTGCTCATCCTGTGTGGCATCGAACCGAGGGTCCCCGTGTCGATCAGCAGAGACCTCTGCATGAAGAATGGCTGAAGAGGACTCAGGTCAACGTGGGATTTGCACAACTTTGGCTGATGAGTGCAGACATGAGTTGTTACAAGATCCATCTTTCCGCTTGGTTTGAGAGCTCCCAGGCACCTCCACGCACGCCATCCTCCTGTGTCCCCGTGGGGCCCTTGCCGCCCAAATCTCTGATGTGCAGGGTCCTGCCCCTCTGCTGCTGGCTGAGGGGCAGTTTGGGCATCCCCTGGGGCAGGCGGTGCCTTCCCCAGCCTGGGAGGGTGTTTGCTGGGGGTGGCCGGTGCACCTTCCTCTGCAGCAGTTTCAGCTTTGGATGCTGGAGGTTGAGCCCCGGCGCTGGGCTCGGTGTCCGTGCGAGTGCCGTGGGGGTTTTCCGCTTGCGTGCGAGCGCTGAGCATCAGCCTCCCTGACCCGTGCCTCTCGCGTTGCCCCGCCAGGTCCTCTCGAAAACGGGGGAACCGGCTGCCTTGCCACGACCGGAGAGACCAGATCCCTTGCTGGTGGCCGGCGGCGTTCCCTGGCCCGCGCAGGTAGCTTAGTGACCCCGCCACCGCCTCGCCCTGCCCCGCAACCCGCTTCTGAGTCGTGTCTTTTTTCTCTCTTTGCCCGGCTTTCCCCCCCCTGCTCCTTGCCCAAGGTAGGGAAGCCCAGCAGGAGCAAGCACAACACGCTGCCCGGCGGCACCCTGCAGATCCGCTCCCTCGGCAAGGACGACCACGGCGAGTGGGAGTGCGTCGCCACCAACATCGTCGCAAGCATTACTGCCAGCACCCACCTTACCGTCGTAGGTACGGGCAGGGCGGGGGACGGGGCCTTGGGTAGAGTCCCCCAGGCAGTGCATGGGCAAGGCAGGAGGTGGGGATGCTTCCCGTGAAGAGGAATGTCTCCTTTCAATGTTATTTACTGGTGGAGGTGCCTTTTTCTGCTCTGTTATTTTGGCCGCCTGCGGACACAGCTGTCCTCCTGCTGTTTCTAGCAGAAATTCCGCGTGGTCTTTGCTTGGTGCAAGAGGAATCCCCTCAAATCATGGCTGGGAGCAGCCCTCTTGCCTTTGCCAGCTGGTTCGTGGTCTTGCTCCCCTTTAACCCCTCCCTCTCCCTCCACAGGCACAAGCCCTCACGCCCCGACCAGCGTGCACGTTGTGGTCGCCATGACCTCTGCCAACGTCTCCTGGGAGCCCGGCTACGACGGTGGATACGAGCAGACTTTCTCAGTTTGGTACGGCCCTCTGTGAGTCATCCCGGCATGCTTTGCTCTCTGCTTCTTTTCTTTCCTAGCCGACCCGAGCTTCGAGCAGCCGAGGGGGAGGAGGGTGGGGAGGGTGGCCTTGCCCGCCTCTACGCCCGTGGGCATTGCAGGGCTGAGCTCCCGTTCGGTGTCTCGGAGAGATGGGTGGTGGTGGGATCACGTAGTTCCTGTGTTTCTTCTCCCTTCTGTGCTAGCCAGTATTTCCATCTGCCCCAGCAGGTTTTATTCTGCTTATGGTACAAAGGAGATGCTTTGCATTCGTGTAACTTTGCTTCCGGCATCTAATTTCAAGATAAACTGTTTATGAAGCTTAAGAGCCAGAGAGAGGATGGAAAATACCACCTTTATAGAGTGCGTCCTGGAAGAGCTGTGACTAAGCAGAAATGATCTCTCCTTGCTGTGTGGCTCTCTGGAGGTGCTTAATTCCCACCTGAGTTCACGATCAGCTCTGAGCCTCGTGGGGCTTTGCTCCCATCGCTCCCGTGCCAGCCTGCGCTACCCAAAGCCAGTGGGGGCATCCCACCACCCCACAGTGGGGATGCTGGCTTTCCGCCAGGGCAGGGGAGGGCGAAATGTAGCTGCAGCGAGGTCAGGGTTTTCTTTGGGCTCTGCACTTGCTCTTGGCTTCTTCTTGGCTTTGAAGAGCTGGACTTGGAAATGGGGAGGGGATGACGCTTTCTCTTCCCAGGCCTGGGCTGGTGTTCTTCAGCCTTTCTCCTTGCTCTCTCTTTCCTTCCTTGCCTTAATTTGCCCCAGTGGAGACTGCTGATAGCATGGAGAGAGGGTAGATGCAGCCTGTAATAATTTCTGCTCTGCTCCAGCCTGAGGCTGGGGCTGGACAGTCTGTTAGGAGAAGGAAAGAAGAAATGGAGCGAGCAGAGGGGAAAAATGAGGGAGCGAGCAGAGTGGTGCAGACTTTGCTCTGATAAAAACGTCCTTGGGAAGGAGGTGGTCACCTCAGAGGGAGCTGACAGCTGCTGCTGCTGGGTTCCTGCCTCCTCGAGGCTCTTCCAGACCCTGCACGGGGAGAGCACGAAGCTTACCCGAGGGAGTTTACAGGGATAGGGAGGTAGAGACCCATCCTGCCCGGAAGGTTGGGTGTGAGCCCTGGGGGCTGTGCTGCTCCCTGGGACCAGGGATCTGGGATGGTGCTGGGCGTCCATAGGTTTTCCTCCCTGCTCTGGCTATGGGATGCTTGAGCAAAACACGGCTCTGTCTCCTGAGGAGCTCATGCTCCCCTCCTGCTTCTGCGGTTGTTGGTGCTGGAAATGCAAACCCCGCTCTGGGGGGATGGCCAGGGCCACCACAGCATCCCACCTGCACGCGTGCTCTCCCTCATCACAGGTGGGCTCCCATCCCTGGGGGGAAATCAGTGCTGTGTTAACTCTCCACTCTCACCCCTTGCTGTTGTGTGCCTGCCCACAGCAGCGCGGGGAAGATGGGTTGCTTGGTCGGTGGGGGTTCAGTGCTGCAGGAAAACCCTCTCAGGGTGATGGCCTGCTGCTTCTTCACTGCCCTTTACAGGGGCAGATTATTTGGTGGATTTACCTGCCTGTATGCTGGTGGCTACAGAAATGCCCGCTTCCTATGCAGAACAGACCGTCTGCAGTAATCCTTCCCAAATCCTCTGCGGACACCACCGAAACCTGCAGCAAGGGCCTGGGGCTCCCTACAGCATCTCTCTACTGATACTTGCAGTATCGTCGCAGCGCGGTGACGCTGCTTCGGGCCGTGGGGCCCTTTTGCCGCGGTGCTTGGCGGTGGGGTTATGGCTTGTGGAGGTGGCTGCACGCTCGCCTGGGCTGGGGTCGCACTGGCACGGCTCTGGGAGCCTTTTTTGGCCCGGGGCTTGTGGTTTAGACCTGTCCTGTGCTCCTCACAAGTAACCTCTGCTGCGCTGCTGAACCCCTGGTTATGCCCTGGGCTGTGCTGGCAGCCCCCAACTTGTGCAAATATGGCAAAAACGGTGATCTAGTTAAATGTGTCTTGTGGGACTGCATGTACAAGGCTACAGCTGAGGGAAAACTTGGCTCTGGCTCGGGAGCTATCGAGGTGTAAATGGGAACAGGGCCCATCTCCTACTCCAGCCATCCCCTTTGCAGCACTCACCAGAGTAAAAATGCACCAGCTGCCACTTTTGCCCATGGGAATCTGATGGAGATAACCCCCGAGTGGGGCTGTTGGCACTGCTTTTGTCCCTGACCCTGCTCAGAGGGTGCAGGCAGTGCACAACAGCGGGGAGGGCTGGTAGCTGTGGCCGTATGAGCTGGGGGATGCTGGTGTGGCCCAACGGGACGGTGCCCCGTGCCTGGCAGTCCTCGTGTGAGCCGTCCCTGAGCCAGCTCTTGGGTGGCGAGTGGCTGCCCCACGTCCATACACATCGCTGCTGTCAAACCAAACCATTGCTCGGGAAAGCTCCATTCTCACTCGAGAAGTTAATGCTGCTTCTTTGTCCTCCCTGTCGAAGGCACCTTCCCTGAGGATGCTTCCTTTTCTCTTGGCAGGATGAAGAGAGCCCAGTTTGGCCCCCACGACTGGCTGTCTCTCCCAGTGCCAGCTGGTTCCAGTTGGCTACTAGTGGATACCTTGGAACCGGAGACTGCCTACCAGTTCAGTGTCTTGGCTCAAAACAAGCTGGGCACCAGCTCCTTCAGTGAGGTGGTCACTGTGAACACTCTAGGTAGGTCGTCTGTGGAGAGAAGGAGAGGAGGGCGTTCAGGAAGTGCGTGGGGAGAGGTGGCCCTTTGTCTTGGTCCGTGTGTCCTATTTTCTGGGGATGGAGATGCTGATCAGCAGCAGTAGTTTCCAGCCACCTAGAAGATAGTTTGTGGAGGGTCCTGGATGAAGGTCGTAGGCTTTGCTGGATGCGTGAGGCTCCTGAAAGCTTGTCCTAAGAAGCAGCGTGGGAGAACTGTACTGTAGCGCAGTCACTTTTCAGATCTTCCTTAAGTTCAGCTGGGGTCAGGAGGTATTAATAGAGCACAAAATCGCTTGCGTGCGGCTCAGAGCAGGAGCTATCACAAAGGGCCTCATGCTGGTACCTGCCTTGGGGCCATCTCGGGCAGAGGGGGCAGGAAGCAGGAGGCTTTTCTAGTGCTGTGCCCCTTTACTTGGACTCACTGCATTGTTAGTCCCCTGCTTTTTTGGAAAGCCACTTTTATGTCTCTGGATAAGAGAGCCTGTGCCTGAGATGTGCCCTAAACTCATGGAAGATGGGAACTGCCTCTGCTGTGGTGGTCCATCTGCTGCTGCTGGGGCACGTGTGGAAGAGCATCCTCTGCGCTTCCCCTCGGGCCATCCCAAAGGTGTCCCTGTCCTGTCTGCTCTGTCCACAGCATTCCCTGTAACAACTCCAGAGCCTCTGGTGTTGGTTACCCCACCGAGGTGCCTAACAGCCAACCGGACACAGCAAGGCGTCCTCTTGTCATGGCTTCCTCCTGCTAACCACAGCTTCCCCATCGACCGCTACATCATGGAGTTCCGTGTCGCGGAGAGGTGGGAGATCTTGGATGACGGCATCTTGGGGACCGAGAGCGAGTTTTTTGCCAAGGACTTGTCCCAGGTAAGCAGGGGCCTGCCCACACCGCACCTCTGGTGTCGTACCATCTGCTGTGGCTCTGGGGAAGGTTTTGGGGTGGCTCGGTCGCCCTTGCTGGGGTCTTCAAGGAGCAGCTGGGCAAGGTTGGGGGTTGTGGTGGGGGTCGTGACGGATGTGCTTGTGTTTCAGGACACCTGGTACGAGTTCCGGGTCCTGGCGGTCATGCAGGATCTCATCAGCGAACCCAGCAACGTTGCTGGTGTGTCCAGTACAGGTAAGGGGTGACTCCTTCCTCTACCCCCAGCTGGTTTTGTGCTTTTGAATGAGACGCTGAGGCTGGGAGCTGGGCTGATGGGTTAGGATTGGTGTCCTGGGCATGCTGCTGGCCCCGTGCTGCCTCCTGACACAAACAGATCAGCAGCACTCGGGGCGGGTGAGGACAAACGGCCCCATTTAGTCCCTCCTGCAGAGCTCGGTGTTGTCCGCTGGTGCAGAGTGACAGCGCATCTCGGCTCTGTGGGGGTGCCTGGAGAACAAAGCTCCGAGCGGGCACTGCGCAGCCTGGAAATGGGAATGAAAGGTGCAGAGAGGGAAACGTAGCACTGCAGTGCAGAGTCCAGGAGGGGGAAAAAAAAAAAGCTTTTCTACAGGAGACTGCAACGTGCTGCAGCTCCTGCACGTACCCTGCGCCCCGGTCCAGCTCGGGGGATGCTCCTCCAGCAAGGGACAGGACGTGATGGTGATGGGGAAGACAAGAGCAGCAGGAGATGGGGATGCGGCGAACCCTGCTTTCATGGAAAAGCCGAGGAGCCACCCAGCTCTGCCTCACGCAGGAATGCAGCAGTCTCTCTCTGCCCTCAAGTGGTGCCGGCGCGGTGTGGAGAGCCTGCCTGCTGCAGGCTGCCTGCTTGCCTGTGCCCTTCCTCCTCTCGCACAGTTTTTCTGATGAGGTTTGGCAGCATCCCCAGGGCGTGCGTGTGCCCTGGCCTTGGGCAGCTGCCCTCCCAGGCTGAAAGCTGGTGGTCCCAGTAGGCAAAGACATGCTGATCCTGCATGTGGGAGCGCTGGCGTGGGCAGGGTTTGCGTCTGCAAATGGCCACAGCCGAAGTCTGCTGGTGGTTTGGGTGTAGATGTGGTTAGCGAAGGGGCGTCACGGGCGTTCAGAGCCCAATTTTCGTTGAAAAGCTGAAAAGGAAGCACTGGTAAACAGGATAAAATAGCCATGTGCTGCTGCAGCGGGTCGTTGTGCCAGGAGATAACTGCAGGTTTAGTGCAGCTGTGTGCGCTTGTACGTATTTGTGTGGCATGGAGGCTTCTTCCCTGGGGGTCCGTCCGCTACAATAAAAAGGTTTATCTGGTGCAAGGTCACTAAATCCCTTAGCAGTGGCCTGCAGCAGCACTGCGTGCCCTTCCCACCTGGGCTGGCTTGGAAACAGGGTCTTTACTTCAAGATTATCATTCCTGCTACCAGTTGCCTTCACGCTGTGGTAGGTCCCCAGGGAAGGCAGCAGGCAGGGGTGTGTGCGTAACACCTGAATGTTGTGTTTTTTCCCCCCAGATGTATTCCCTCAGCCTGACCTGACGGACGAGGGTCTAGCCCGCCCAGTGCTGGCTGGCATCGTTGCCACCATCTGCTTCCTGGCTGCTGCCATCCTCTTCAGCACACTCGCCGCCTGCTTTGTCAACAAGCAACGCAAACGCAAGCTTAAGCGCAAGAAAGGTGAGTCCATCCCCAGCGTCCTTCCTCCCTCCCACCTCTTCCTCGTTTCTCCTCCCTGGTTGTGTTGTGGTGGTAACCTTCTTCCCTGTCTGTCTCTTCTTCCGCCCGTGCGCGTCCTCAGGTGAAGCCCTGACTTCATCCCTCAGCTGTGCCTGAAAGCGCCCATGGTCGGGAGCGGGAGAGGCAGGGTGGGTGAAGAGGAGACAGAGAAACTAGCCTGGGATTTCCGAGGGAGCGCTCTCGCGTGGTGATAACTCCTAGAGCCGGGGGTTTAGGGCTGGGGTGTCCTCTGGGCCAGAGATGGGTGGGGGCACCACTCACCTCCTCGAGGTCCTCCCCACCCCGGTGCTGGGCTCTCCAGCTGTTTTCTGCCCAGCCCGGAGCGGGCAGTGCCTGACCGCCGCGCTAGGCTAGAGAAGACCCCTGCCAAGGAGACCCCCGCCGCTCTGCTTCCCGAAAACTGGGGCTGCAGCCGCTGTACAGGAGCGGCTGGCAGGGAAAAGGGCGGCTGGGAGAGCCAGAGCGGGCAGGGGAATTGGCTCCTTCTCCTCTAGCCTGCGAGAGTGTGGCAGCAGGACGGGCAGGACCCTGTGACGGGAGCTGTTTGTTGTTAGCAACCATTAAAGTGCTGGAGCAATGAAACCTTGGCCTCTCGTTGAGTGTCTTTTGTTGTCTTGATGTTGAGTTTGTCTTGCCTCTGTCGTGTTGCGCCTCCTTAGCGTTCTCTCTTCTTTCCCCTTTTTATTCTCTTCCAGACCCTCCTCTCTCGATAACCCACTGCAGGAAGAGTTTGGAGTCCCCGTAAGTATCTGTCTTGGATGTGGCACCAGGCTGTGGGTCTTCAAGGTGCCTCCTTCCTACAGCTGTTGCAAAGCTGAAATGGAAATGTCTGACCGTGTTTGGCTGCTTCTGATGAGTTGTTTTGGGCATTCCCTGAACCTGTGGGAGCACGACGGTTCACAAGAGGCAAATGGGCTTTGGAGCAGAAAGCGGCAGGGCCAAATGCAGCGGACTTTAAGCCCGTTGGGTCCCTGTCGGATCTGTGGACGTTGACCAAAGCTGGAGTTGACTTGTGGAACTCAGCTGCACACCCTGCTTGAAGGGGCTCCTTAGGAGAAGGGCTAGCCTGCTGCGTGCGGAGTCCTTTGTGCAAGCTGAGTGTAGTTTTTGGGTGATTCTCTGTTGGCTCTGGTTTTTCTTGGTCAGTTCAGAAAATCTTACACCTGTGTCTTTTCTCACGGAGTGCCCTGCCACAGCCTCTTTCCACACATGCCCAATGGTGGTGGGTTGTCACTGCACTGTCTCTGGATTTGTTACCTTTTGCCTTTCAGTCCTGTTTGTCCAAGGCTTTCTGGATAGGGATGAGTGAACTATTCTGATGCTCTCTGCCTTTTGAGGCTCTCAGCCTGAAGTTTGAGTGTTGAGAATGGGATAAAATATTGGCCTGAAATGATCTGTCAGCATCTCTGAGTGAGAGTTGCAGGAGGGGACATTTACCTCCTCTTGGAGGCTCTCCTGGGTGTGGATAGCTCAGGTGTATGTAGGAAAACCTTTGAAGGAGTTGGAAGTGAGCTCTGGATCTGTCTTTCGTCCCGCTAGGGCTGCAGACCTTGTTGTAAGGCGTTGATGGAGCTTGTTGCAAAGTGTTGGTATGAGCTCCCTGCTCTGAGGGGGATGCTGAGGGTGCCAAGCTCCGCTTCCAAGGAGCGGGACTGACGTGTGCTACTACTGGTCCCCTGGCCTGTGCCGTGGCCAGGCAAGACTCTGCCATCCTGGTTAGCCCCTGCAAACTTCTCCCTGTGGTTCCTCATGAGAGTTGCTAGTACATTGTTCTCCGGATCCATCTGGCAGTTCTTCTGGGTGAGAAGACCTCCTTTCCTCTCCAGGTGACAGTCCCCTCTCTCGGTTTTTCTCCCTTGTGGTCCAGGTTGTCTTCCGGCAAGGTGAGTCCCGAGAGCATCCGCACACTCCGTCCCCCCTCGGAGTCCTCCGACGACCAGGGTCCGCAGGCCAAGCGGATGCTGAGCCCCACCAAGGAGAAGGAGCTCTCCCTTTACAAGAAGACCAAGCGAGCCATCAGCAGCAAGAAGTACAGCGTCTCCAAGGCGGAGGCCGAAGCCGAGGCCACCACCCCCATCGAGCTCATCAGCCGCGGGCCGGACGGCCGCTTCGTCATGGACCCAGCGGAGATGGAGCCCTCCTTGAAGACACGGCGGATCGAGGGCTTCCCCTTCGTGGAGGAGACAGACATGTACCCGGAGTTCAGGCAGTCGGATGAGGAGAACGACGACCCCGTTGTCCCCACCTCCGTCACCGCCCTGAAAGCCCAGCTCACCCCTCTCTCCTCCAGCCAGGAGTCCTACCTTCAGCCACCAGCATACAGCCCCCGGTTCCACCGGGCGCTGGAGGGTCCCGGCACCCTGCAGGCCACCGGCCAGGCCCGCCCGCCGGCCCCCCGGGCTTTCCACCACCAATTTTACGGTTACCTCAGCAGCAGCAGCCCCGGGGAGGTGGACCCACCGCCCTTCTACATGCCAGAAGTCAGCCCGCTGAGCTCGGTCATGTCCTCCCCACCGCTGCCCCCCGAGGGGCCTTTTGGACACCCCACCATCCCCGAAGAGAACGGGGAGAACGTCTCCAACAGCACGCTGCCCCTGGCCCAGACCCCCACGGGGGGCCGGTCCCCTGAACCCTGGGGCAGGGCCGAATTCCCCTTTGGCAGCCTGGAGCCGGCCCCGGCGCCGTTCCCCCACCAGCTCCAGTCGTGTGAGGCGGCCGAGGGCACCCAGCCCACCGGCTGCCTTCCTCGGGGGCCGCCCCCCTCATCCCTCCAGGTGGTCCCCGCGTCCTACCCGGGCATCCTGCCCCTGGAGGCACCAAAGAGCTGGACCGGCAAGTCACCCGGCAGGGGCCAATCCTCTGTGCCCACCACCACGAAGTGGCAGGACAAACCTATGCAACCCATGGGATGTCAAGGGCAGCTAAGACATACCAGCCAAGGTATGGGCATACCCGTGTTGCCTTACCACGAACCGTCCGAGCCCGTCGGCCCCAGCGGCACAAGCACATTCAGCCTGGACACCAGGTGGTACGAGCCCCAACCCCGACCTCGGCCCAGCCCTCGGCAGGTCAGGAGGGCTGAGCCCAGTTTACATCAGGTGGTGCTACAACCTTCGAGGCTTTCACCTCTGACCCAAAGCCCCCTCAGCTCCCGCAACAGCTCCCCAGAGCTGACCGCCCGTGCCCGGCCCCGGCCGGGCCTCATCCAGCAGGCTGAGGTGTCAGAGATCACCCTGCAGCCCCCCGCGGCGGTCAGCTTCTCCCGCAAGTCCACGCCGTCGACGGGATCCCCCGCGCCAAGCAGCCGGGGAGGCAGCCCCAGCTACCGACCTACTGCCACCTTCGCCTCCCTGGCCACCGGCTACTCTGGCTCCCAGGGCTCCTCCCTGCCCGTGGACACCATGGATGTTTTCGGAGACATCCCCTCTCCGAGGAGGGCTGGCGAGGAGATTCTCCAACCGGAGCCGACATCCACCACGGTAGCCGCCACGGGGTAAGTGTGTGAGCCCCGTGGTGCCCCCCCCAACCCCGGCC